TTTGGTTAGGAAAGTCCAAGAAAAGACGCTGTTTCGGAGAACTTGGCGTAGATTATAAAAATAGTAGTATTCCCCCTTCTGTTTAAAAAAGCACCACACCATGAAAATGTATCGGCGAATCGTGGTTTAGCTCCACTATTATTAACCTCGGCACATGGAGATGAGTAGTCAGCTTCACGCCCCTGACGCTTTACCCCCCCCTCCGGGGAAAAACTCCTGGTACCCATTGGGTAAGGAGACCAAGGAAGGTCTCCGAATAATCGGTCTCTTTGTCAAGTTTTAAACCCGGGCCCTCCCGAATAAGGCGCAAGAGCACTGAACCGCGATGTTTGATGTCTGCAATAAAGCCGCTCTTTTGTACGTCTGTACATTCTACAGAAAGACGTTCAACCGCCGCTGTCTCTCCACATGTGCAACCGTTCCACGCGCTGCAATATCCCATTTTTCTGAAGACTGGAAATAAAATGTCTTTACGATAAATTGCGAGGGAGTTAAAAAAGCAGAGATTTTTTATCTCTCTCATAAGGATTTTAATGATGAACCTCTCGAGCAACAGACGGAGAAAACGTTAAAGGCTGAGGTAGAACAAAGAGATCAGAGAAAGGACGTTAAGTCATCAGTTATGTCCTTCACTTTTTCTGCCAAGGATTATCTCTTAATGACCGGTGCCACTATCATGAATGAATGGCTTTATATGTTCTCTAATATCTCTCTCTGCTCGAACAAAGTCCATACCACATTAGCAGCTTCCATCAAGAACTTCAGATATCAGAAACGAGTTCTATAACAAGTTCTCAGGGTATCCATAACAGATGTCTCTAGTAGCATGTTTCATTATGATCACCAGCCTAGAATACAATTTCGAATTTTTTTTCGGGGGGGGGNAGGGAATGCAAACAAAATTGTGACTGGAAAACTTGAATGGAACTCCGACCACCTGGGAGACCAAGACGTAAATGGTATTACAATACTGAATTATATGTTACGGGGTGCGTTAGGCTGCTTGCTTCACCCTGGTTGCTTAATTTGCTTTTACACTCTCAAAGATGTTGAAATGTGAGTAAATTTTCAACGGACCACGCGGCGTCTCTTCGCAGAAAACAGCAAAAGAAAAAGGGCAAAAGTAAAGTTGTCTCTGTGATTAATTAATCGAGCACTAAGCCATGAAGACGTATGGGGGAGCATAGATATAGCTCCACCATTCTTCTTTTCGGCACTAGATGGAGTGAGTAGTCAGATTCACGCCTCGGCCGCTTTACCCCAGCGAAATCGTCCCTGGTACCCATTGTATTGGAGGCTGTGTGGCCAGCAATGCCAGTTTACAGGCTGTGGAAGGAGAAAATTCTTGCCCCTGCCGGTAATCAAACCCGGGTTGTCTAGTCCGAAACGTGTCGCTATACCGACTGAGCTATCTACAGTACTCTCCAAATTCCTTTCCTTATTCCGTTAGTTTTAAGCCTTGAGTTAAATCAGACTTCAGAGTCTGTACTCGTAGCGCAACATACGAGTACTTCATAAAAGTTGCTTTTACTTCAAAAATTCTATTACGAACTTTAATATATTTGCACGCACTGAAATAACTGAGGTTATAAATATATTTGACAATAACATGGGGTAGATGAGAAGTAGGTGGAGTTCATAAATTACTCTGTGCTGCTCTCCTGTGCATATGAACCTCACTGCACAAGTATATACGAACACAAAATACGGGCCAAAAACGTGTAAATTATGGGCTATATGATGACTAACTGGGGTTCTCCTCCGCTCGGAATATCAATATAAAATTCCGAAAAGAAAACAAGTATATCGGCCTTCTTTGTAACAGGGAACATTTTCAATGCAACTGCTGAAAATTTCCTTAGAAGTGATTAAAATCTCATGTGGGCTGATGTACCCTTCTAATCACAATATTAAATATAATTACAATTAATTTTGTACTTTCATCTTCTTTTTATATTTACAGATTTATTTTTAATTTAACTGGGATTTTATATAATAAAAGATTTTATTCTGCACTTCAAAACTCTTAAAACGACATGAAGAGGTAAAATTTATACAAAAGAAAATACTTTTAAGAATAAAAAATTCTTTACGGTCCCAATTTTTTTATGCTTTTAATTGTATATAAAAATTATATTTAGACCCTAATCCGTATGTACCAAGTGGTATTTTAAACGATTAAATATTGCTATAAAGCTTTAAATATAGTGTACAGTAAAGTTAGTATAAAATGAAATTTCTTTGGGCATGAACGCTTTTCCGTGTCATACAAGTATTTGTTCGACAGCTCTAGTTATATATAGAACTAAAGTAAGCATATGTTGCATTGTTCATGGACCCTGTATTTATATTTTTGTGAAGAAAATAAAGTGTCACAACTTTAGAGTGCTCCAGAGGTCTTTTAACCTAAACCATTCTACAGCCCGACATTAATGGAGAGGTTCGCACTTATAACTTGACAGTCAATTTGTAGAACGGTTTCACAGCGTTGCGAGTTGTGTATTTAACGTAGAGGATATCATTTCGAACAATTTTTGTAAATTCAGCAAGTAATAAAGAAACTTCTAATTGTTTTTGTGCATATTTTACTATCAATTTAACTGAATTTGGGCCAGTATGTATATATTCCCTGTTTCTGACAAATGTGCATTTTATATCTTTCTTTCCGTCATTTTTCTTTCATTCTCTTCTATCCTCCTTCGTTATTTCCCTACGTTTCCCGTCCGTAAAATTAATGTGCACATATTTACAGGAATCGGGCTTAATTATTTTCCATTTTTGGCACAAACACTCAATCATTTTGAAATCAATTCTCTAAAGTCCAACGTAACACACACAATTCTCTCCTAGTAAGTGCAGCATCTTCTGAAATTGACACCGTGTAGTGTGGTAGAAGATTGTGGACATTTCGGTAGAGTGTACTGCCAACATCTTCGGGGTTGAATAATAAGTCAAGCAAGCAACAAAAGGATAAACCCCTAAATACCGATTATGAATAAAGTCAATCCAACCGTTCAGAAGCTATCGATGGGCATATCCATACATACGTACCTGTACATATTGTCAAGGTTTTATGACTCCGTGGCTAATAATAACGGGATTCGGATTGGATGATTGGATTTATGAACGCCTTCCTTTACGGTCACTGTTACAATCAATTACAACAGCTCACAATAAATTACTGCCTAAGACTGGCTCCATTCTGGCTCATTCCCTTTCTTTTGATTCGGTTCTGTACCACTTATAAACTCTGGAGGCGGACCCATAGAAGACACATCCGTTGCCCAGCAATGGGTATATGCGAACCACACAGAAAACACCTCTTCCTCTATTGTTGTATTTACAGCGAGTTGAATAGTAACTAAAGTTATCCGACTGTTGTCTAAGTATTTCCTGCTGCGGGAATATAATGGAACCTCGCTTAAAGAGCACGTCTCATAGCAAGTGATTCGCATAACGAGCCAAACAAATTGTAAAGAGGTGACTCGCTTAACGAGCTACGTTTCGCATAACGAGTGACGAGAGGGGAAGTCCCGGATTGTGCGCTTGCTACATCAGTCTGTGTTTAGCACTCGTTCCGCTAGCATCTTAGTGTCGCTTGTGATCACACATTTTTCCAAACTTGTGTTCAGATATATTATTTGTGCAACGTTTAATAACCCTTGCAAAAGTGTCCCCTAAGAAAAAGCCGCAAAAAGACAGCCATAAGAGAATAAAAATAACCGTAGAAATGAAACGTAAAATCATTGAAAAGCGAGAACGAGGTGTGAGCGTGGCTGATCTAGCACGCACATACAATCGGTCTACATCAACGATTTGCACGATTTGGAGTTGCATTGTGTTTCACAGCAAGAAGTTGTGGAGAAGAGTTTGTCAGAGGAGGAGGAGGAGGTAACAGCAAAGCAACAAATCTTCTGGCGCAATAAGAGAAATGCTGAAAGCATGGGAAACTGTTACATCGTACACTGAGAAGCATCACCCTAATAAGGCAGTGGCTATGCGCGCTACAAATTTATTTAATGATAATGCTGTGTCGCATTTTCACCAAATTTTGAAGCGTCGGCAAAAACAAATGTCTCTAGGCAGCTTTCTAGTAAAAAAATAGATATGTATCATAAATAATTCACTAATTCTTTTGATTTTTTGTTTTGTTTTTTGTTTTCTGCAAATCGAATTCGCATTCCAGGTTGGTTCATTCCGCATAGAAGAAAAGATGAAGATTATTCACGCTCCTTAACAATGTATATATAATTTTCTTTGAATAAACGTTATACATAAAATTTTTTGAGTAATTTTTTTTTTCGGCATGGTACGCATTATCGTATTTTACATTAACTTATATTGGAAAAACTGCTTCGCTTAACGAGTAAGATTCTGGAAAGAATTATGCTCGTTAAGCGAGGTTCCACTGTATATTTAGCGAGTCGTTGCCCAGCAACGGGTCTACATGTCACAATATATACACACACACACACATTCTAAAATCCACTGTTTCGTATTCATGGGTGTTGAAAACGTGTAAATCTAACAAAATCTCGAGATAAATTGTTTTCAAGGTCACAACACTTTCTCAAATTTATTATGCATATAAGTAACTGAAGTAGTTAAATGTCCCTGATTATTATCATTACATTATTCTTCTAACAGAGACAGAATGTTTCATTACTCATATTCCCAACTATTTACAGCAGTGGAGCCGCGTGGTGGTAAGTCTTGTAAATAAAGGCACCTACCGCATTATGCAATAAAGCTAATGTATTACCAATGCGGACATATGTGGTTTATTTATTACAGCTTCCATGACCTCATAGCAACTACAAAATAGAAAACAAAGAAGGAAGACATGAATTTTATATTACAGATGCGTACAATTTTCTAGAATGGCTCAAGTATTTTATACTTATCAAGCTGTAAACATAGGAAAGACTGAAGTCAGTTAGTGGGCCAAGCTTCAAGACACGATACTGCAGAATTTAATTAAGATATATAGAACCACTTACCCGTGATATACCAGAAAGGAGAGTAAGAAGAAGACAGAGGCTAAGATGTCAGCTCTCCCAACTATCCCCGTCACCTGCAAAATGAAAATATATGAAGATATAGTAGACAGCTTGTGGCATGAAACAATTCTACAATTCAGCTGCTAGAACAACAAGGCATCAGGTAGCTCTCATGCAACAAAATTTTATTTGCTATTTCTGTATTTTTTGTTTCATTTAAGCTTATAATGAGAACGCATTATATTTCCTTGTAATTATAATAATTTTCTATATCCTTTTATACATATGAATTTTTGTGAGCGTGGAATTTATTGTCCTCATGCAACTCCAGGCCTTCATAGCAACGAATTTTCAAGGATTAACACGTTCCATAAACGTAAGTTATGCAGCAGATCACGAATGAGTGTGAAGTCTTTTAATGATTCCCTTTTATTCTTTGAGTAGTAATAATATATTAATGTGGCTGAAGAAGACGGTTTACGATTGACGGTGGTGTTATTCCTGGAATATGACGTTAAACGTCGGCCTCGATGTATCATTCGATAACATGTAGGACTGTAAAGGAATAGAGAAGAAAGCAGCGGAAGTTACTAACATGAGAGCTTATGCAACAAATGATGAGATTTCCCGTTGAATTCTAAACTGGGTGTTACACTTGTATGTTTTTATTGATAAGTACTTACGTTCATACATGAGAAATATAGAAAATATCAAAAGTTAACCCCAATAAGTGAGTCATCAGTTCCGGGTGTGTGTAGAAATAGTATTTCATTATAATTATTATTATTATTAATGTGACGTGCCGCAAGGAAGGCCGGACGGTAAAACGTCCATCACTGGTCAACGGCTATAAATTCCTAGGAAAAGCAATATAAACAGCCCGTTGCTTTGGAAATCGCTTAAACAACACGATAACCTAACAGTGTGGTTTCCGCCGTCAAAAAAGGCTAGCAATTCTAAGTACCGAATTGTTTGAGGCAGACACGTATTTCCGTAGCAACGAGAGTCGTCTGCATAGCAACAGCTAAACTGAACATTTCGACAAGGTGACCTCTATCCCGTCCGAGCGTAGGATATAAGCGAAGAACAATTCAGAGGCCCCCTCTCGTCAGAGAGGGCGCCCCAAAAAACAAGACCGTAACTGTCAAGCAGTAATAAATATCTGGTCATGAACCAAGACTTACTGACTGACTGACTGACTGACTGACTGACCGACCGTCAGTCGCAATGTGACTTTGACTTTGACCCAGTCAGTTCGTATCAGACCAGAGAAAGATTCGAAGAGAGCTAAGGACAGTTCACATTCGACGGGAGCTAAGCAGAGGGTTCAGATCCGACAAAGAACAGGAGAAGAACGAAGAGCCAAGACGCTCCACCAAGATTAGCGGAGAAAGTATAACCTTTGAAGCGGAAACGTCTGAAGGCGTTATAAGTGCGAGTGGTTGTGATCGTGAGTGTAAAAAGTGATTTCACAATAAAAGTCTTCGTCTAATCCGAGACCCACATAAATTTCTTGCCGCGTTACCTAGGAAACACGCGACATTATTATTATTATTATTANATTAATGTTTCATTCCTCTATTCGTAATAGCACTTAGTTTAATGATAATGGAATTATTATTACTGTTATAATTATCGCTTATTTGTTTGTTTACTTTTACATTTATTCGTTATTATTTCTTCCAATTACTTAACTGTATTTTGTATTTGACTTCTAATAAGTTTGTATGTAATGTAATTCAGTCATCTACACTGTGCTGAGTCTGTAATTGGCCTTGCGGCTGTTGACTCGGCACATTAATAATAAAGAATTGAATTGAATTGCATTAATTCAAGTCAATTGAATTGAATTGAATTGAATTATTATCATCATCATCATCATTATCATTATCATCATCATCATCATCATCATCATCATCATTATTATTATTATTATTATTATTATTGTTTCTGTCCCCCAATGTTAAGGCTTTCAAAACGGAATATTCATATTGTTACGTGTATTAATGATTATAGACGGGGTTCGGATTGGTAATTGTATTTACTGACCACCTTCAAGCCGTAACTATAATTATAACACTACTGCTGATCTCAACTTTACGCATCACTCCACACTAATCTTCTCAGTCTATTTCTATTAGTCGTATTTACTATCCGTTTCCTGACAACGGATTTATAACGCAGGAACTATACAAGTCTTGCTAAATGGCACACTCCCAATAGCACTGTACTACAGCACACATAAAGTCACACACTATTTTTTTAATGCTAGTGGGGTGGGACTAAGTCCCTTGTACTGCGGCCACTTCTGGCCTATTTACCAGTCCCAGATGATAGGTGAGGGTGATTGTGGAGCAATTGGTGGAATGAAGATTAGCAGGGGAAACCGAAGTACTCGGAGAAAACCTGCCCCAGAGCCACTTTGTCCACCACAAATCCCACTTGACCAGACCCTGGATCGATCCCGGGCTGCCGTGGTGGGAAGCCAGTGACTAACCTCTTGAGCTATGGCGCTGCCAAGTCACACACTAAGTCACAGTCTAATTCCTTCGACTGCTGACTCCCTGAATTCTGATCTACGATGACTGTCTCCAGCTCAAAGTCAAAGTCAAAGTTATGTTACGACCGACGGTCAGTCTTCCAGTCTGTCTTGGAATAAAGCACCTATCTGGGGCTTAACACCAGATCTTTATCACTGTCAGACAGTTGCAGGCTTGTTGATGTGGGGCGCTCTCTCTGACGAGAGGACGGATCTGTCTTTTTCCAGAGTTACAGTCAGCAGTAATAAGTCTGTTGTCAGTACAAGGCCTCTGTCAGTCCAGGCTCAGGACAGCAGATCATGCCCTATCATTAGTAGCTCCTGTTACAACGGCAATAAAGTCACTTGAACGGTCGTATGCTTGACCGCCGCCAAGTTCAAGCCTCTTATATTTCCTGTATCGAGGTTCTCCTTGTCCATTATTGCGAACATCTGCATTTTCATGATTTTGTATGACTTCTGCTTCTGACTCCAACCGAACTACGCTGACTCTTATAAGCTCTAGGCACGGACAATGCACAGAAGACATAACTCTTCCATTTTTGCGTGCGTGCCTGTTAGGGTTCCCACATGATCGCTACCCAGCCAGTCCATTGGCGCGCTGGCTGCTGCCGATCAACGGTCTCGGCACGAACCACACAGAAAACACAGCTCTTGTATTTCTGAACGAATGTTTGTTTGAATGTGCTTACCTAGAAACGGGGTTTTCTCGCTCCATAACTTAATGCTTTGAGCAAATCAGTCACAATATACTATCAAATTTCTGGAGGCACATGGAATTGCAATTTTTTTTAAATAAATCTAAGATTCGAAAATTAGGGCAGTCATGATATGTTCCTAAATGAAAACTCAAAATATTTTATGTATTACTATCCCAACAAGTTAAAATTTATTCAGTTCTCCAGATTTCAATTTCTTTTGTAGTCTATCTCTCTTATATCCGAATATTTCCCTCGGCACTTCTTCTACGCTCCGTTATGTCTTCTTGACGTGTTGCATAGGCACAATGGAAACTTTATCGTTAGCATTTGCACATGTAGCGAAAGGCAGAGAGACAGGAAGGTATCACTAATTTATTACATAATTTTATACAGTTACTGACGTGTATTATTCAAACATATTGGCACACCGGATTTGACAGACAATAAAAATGTGTGTAATTTATCAGGAATGTGGAATTACGTATACAGCAATTTTAATCCAAACAAGGATAACGAAAATTCGTTCTACCGTGTTAAAACGATACTGGATATCCATATATCATTAGCAAAGACGATGGTGTAGTGTATTTTATTATCTTAGATATAATTGGAGTAAAATTACATTTTACAAAGTGTGATTTCGTCATTAGTGTCGTTCAGGGATTCTGAAACTGATACTAAAGCGAGTATCTTGAACATGTATACATGTTTATTACACACATATGAGTATATATAAAACCCTCTGTAGTTACAGTTAATGGATAACCAACCACCAAACTCCATGCAGCAGAATCCTTCTTAAGAAGCTAATACGTGCTCAAATACTCATTAAATTCCTAGTATTTTACGGAAGACGAAGAATCTTCACAACATCCCGCCAGAGGCCCCCAAGCGCAGCCAGACAATTCATTAGTCTTTCCTGTAAAAACACTGGATTTTTTCAATTGACCTAATCCTTCCAGCCACACTATGGCCCTGGCGTCGACTCAGCCTCTAACAGAAATGAGTACCAGGAATCTTCCTGGGGGTAAATGGTGGCCGGCGAGTGAGGCTGACAACCTCACCGTCATCTGTGAGCTGTCCAGAAAATGTGGGAGTCTCGACGTCTCTCAGGGCCTTGGGCCCCCACGGCCTGTTACAGGGGATAGTTTTATTTTTCATGCATGTCTCATACCTCTCATACATGCTACATTCACTGTACCTCTCTACCATCTTGATTTGATCATTCTAATAATATTTTAGCATGTAGCCCCATTGGTGGGAAAGACAGATGGAAAGAGACCACTGGAACGACCAAGGAGTAGGTGGGTGGACAATGTTAAAATGGATCTTAGAGAGACAGGATGGAATGGTAAGGACTGCAATAATATGGCTCGGGATAGGACCAGTGGAGAGCTCTTGTGAACACGGTAATGAACATTCAGGTTCCATAAAATGCTGGGAAGTTCTTGAGCAGCTGCACGACTGGCGACTTCTCAAGATGGGCACAGCTCCATAAGTGAGTGAATGAATGAGTAGGCCAGTTGCCAGGTAATGGTTCTATAAACAACGGCCGCTGCTAGGAAATGGCTGCAACGGACACGCACACTACAAGAGAGCTGTTTGGAGAGGTGTTTTCTATGTGGTTCATGTTAATGTTATATAACGAGGGTCAGGTGAAGTTAGCAGCCAGTCCGAATAGAGTGGAGTTAAGCTGTGTTAGACAGCTGAGAGTTCAGCAGGTGGAAGCCAATTAATTCAGCTCGGGAACTACACTGAGATAATCAAGAGCCAACGAGGACGTGAAGCCGTGAACAAGGAAGCTGAGGGACGTACGGCGTTGGAAGCCGTTACC